CTTAACACACACTCAAATTTCATGTCTGTGTGAATTCCCTGTATGTACCAAACTAAATTTGATTTTCTCCTGTAAATCTGTCTCATGTCAGTTTGATTTCCAGTCCAGCTGGAAGGACCTTGAAGGACAGAGGAAAATTCTTCCTCCCCAGTAGTATGCACCAGGTTTTCTAGGAGTCAAATATATGCATGTTCTGGAATAAAGTGTGATCTAAGACCCAGAAAAGAAACCCACTACCCGCCCTCCCCCCCCCAAAAAAAAACCACACTCATTCCCTTACAGTCCTGGAGATCAGAAGTCCAAAGTCAGTTTCACTGGACTGAAGTTAAGGTGTCCCTTCAGGGGCTCAGAACTCATTTTCTGGCCTTTTCCAGCTTCTAGAGCTGTGTTCCCTGTATCCCTTGGCTTGTGGCCCCTTCCTCCATCTTCAAAACCAGCAGAATAGCATCTTTTCAGTTGCCACCTTTTCTTCTTCTGCCTCAAATCTCTCTGCCTCCCTTTTATAAGGACACTTGTGATCACATTTTGGGACCCAAACACATAATCCAGCATGATCTCCCTGTCTCAATATCCTTAATTTATTATTAACACATCAACAAAGTCCCTTCTGCCATAATAAGGTGCCATTCACAGATTCCAGGGATCAAGACGTGCATATTTTGGGGGGGGGAGGGGGCTGTTATTCAGTCTACCACATTACTTTCTTAAATGTTCAACATGAAAATTCAGTTGAGGGGCTCTAACAGACCTTTACAATGGCAACTCACTGATGTGTATATGAAATCTTTGGTCATCTTATGTCCTTCAAGGACATTAGTCATATTTTCTAGCTCTTTGAAAGGACACACTGGTCTCCTCAATCTCAGTACTGACACTGTGAAGGCAGATGTCCTTCTTTGTCATTTTGGTTTCTTTCAGAAAACAAGGAAGTGCTCAAAGGTTAAGAGAGAAGCATCAGAAGGATTGGGCCAAATTTGGGACATCTGAACATCAAAAAGAATGATGAGGATTGGCACACATTAGCAAAACTTCATGGAACAGTCTGTTCTTGGTGCTGTTTCTACCATCGGAACCATGCCTCTGTGGTCCTTCTTGGTGATGACCTTAAGGTTTGGCCAATGCCAAAATGAGGTCTCAGGAACTACTATGTTAGTCAAGTCAATCCCAATCATTTTCTTGTGTTAGTGTTCTTTTCAAAAGGCCCTGTCCTCTTGAGCATGAACTTTAAGGAACGGTTTGGTAAACCAGCACCATGACTCCCCATTCTGGAACGGCACCTGGGTAGTCTGAAATGAGCCCTTTGTGCCCAGCCATCCATACATTTCGGCTTGAACTGAAGGGCACTGAACTCTGTATTTCCACAAGGTGATCTCCTTGGCTCGGTTCCCCAACCCTCAGACCCAGGTACAGTTTAGGTCTCCAGTACTGGGATTTTCACTTAACTGCTAATCCTTTTCCTCATTAGGCTTGGTCATCGGCATATGAACAGGGCAGTTACTGGTGTTGGTCTGTCCCTTTTTAAATCTATGTGAGAAGACTGGAACCCAAATTCCTAAACTGATGATAATTAGCTTTGTGGTTATGTCCTAAATACAATGTATTTTGTTAGTAAGGTTTTGGTAGTTATTCCAAAAGAGCCAGCTGGCCATTATCTTACCCTATTGTTTTTCTCATTTAATGAAAACCAAAAGACTAATTCAGTAGGTCAGTAAATCAAATAGAGATATTTACAACAAAAGTGGCATCCTTCTCCAGTGTCCCTGGCTCCTCATTATACACTCAGGTCACAATAAAAATCCAGATGGGGCTGCCACCCTGTTCTCAATACCTACGGATATAATGGCCTTTTTGCTTTTGACAAAAGGAATAAAGGCTGATTGTAGTCTTGGCAGGGATATAATTTTTTATCCTCAGAGAGTCTCTCAGTCCCTATGAAGGAAAATGGCTGACTCTGCCCTATTTCTGAGGAGCAAATGTGCACATTAGAAAACCACCAGCATAACTGCAATCTCTCTGGGAGGCCACCACAGAGAAAACACAGCTTATTTTGGCAACTAAGTGGAAAAATACCTCCTGTTTGCCTATGTACACATGTATGCATCCAGGGCTGGGATGGAGCTGAGGACTGGGAGGTATGGAGGAAGAAGGGAAAAGGATGGGGGTAAAATATGAGATCAGAACCGTGGTGAGGATGGTACGTGTTTGTCTATGTAACTCTGCGTGTACTTCTGTGCACGTGAGTGGGATCTGTAGCTGCAATGCGGGCACGGGAGAGACAACATGAACGGAGAGTGCTCACATTCAATGGAGACACTGGTTCCCAAACTCGGCAGCACAATGAAACATCTGGGAAGCCTTAAAGATGTGGAAGCTTGAGCCCCACCCCTGGAGACTCTAGTCTAACTGGTATAAGTAGTGTGGGGAGTGGAACAATGGTCCCTGGAAGGTGTCTACATTCCAGTCCCCGGAACCTGTAAATATGTTATAGTACATGGCCAAGAGGTATTAACGTTGCTAACCAACTGACCTTAAAATGGGGAAATTATCCTAGATTATCTGGGTGGGCCAGATGGAATCACAAAGGTCCTTAAGAGCAGAAGAGGGAGACAGAAGTTAAAGGTCAGGGTGATGTGATTTAGCAGGACTCAGTTCACTGGTGTTGGCTCTGAAGATGGAGGAGGGGGCCATGAGCCAAGGAATGGAGGAAGCCTCTAGAAGCTGGAAAAGGCAAGGAAATTAATTCTCCCCTGGAGCCTCCACAAAGGAATGCAGCCCTGCCCACACCTTGCTTTTTCTTTAGCCCAGGTCGATCTGGGTCAGATTTCTGACCTCCAGAACTATAAGATGATAAATGTGTGTTGTTTTTAAGCCACTAAGTTTGTGGTAATTTGTTACAGCAATAAAAGAAATCTAAAACACTGGTATGGCCTGAGCTTCCAGGAGTTTAAAAGCCCCCCGGGTGATTCTAATGGGCAGCAAAGTATGATAACCACCAGACTACAGGGAAGACAAGACAAGGACATGCTGGTATGATTGCTTATGCTGGAAAGATGCATGGTGATCTCACCCGGGAAGTCAGCAAGTCACCCACCAAAGAATGTACCATCCGTTCTTAGCCACCTACCCAGAAATGACTACACAGTGGCTTACCAAGGCACATCACAGGATGGGCATGCTTCACCATCCTGGTGGCTAGCATCCTTCCTAGTCTGACCGCTAAATAGGCTATATTTCCTTTAGAGAAAGAATAATCAGGGGCGCCTGGGTGGCTCATTGGGTTGGCTCAGGTCGTGATCTCAGGGTCGTGGGATTGAGCCTGAGGTAGGCCTGGGCGCTCAGTGAGGAGCCTGCTTAAGATTCTCTCCCTCTCCCTCTGCCCCTCCCCCTTCTCTAAAATTAATAAATTTTTTTTTTTTAAAGAACAATTATACCTATGATGAGCAGATTTTCTCTAGAGCTTAGTTTCTTACTAACACTCTCTCTAGGAAGGAACTGGCCAATCACTGAATTATACGCAAATATATTAATTAGTACATTCACGTTAGCACCATCAGGAAAAGGACTCAAATATCCTCCCCTCTGTGCTTCAACTAGTAATAACCACTATTAGCATTATAAAGATAGAGGGTTTCTCCATTTGCTTTAGCAATCTACTTATAAATACATGAATTTATTTATTTATGATAAATGCAGTAGTGTTGGGGGAAGAAAGGAACTCATTCTTTATAGAGATCGAGACAAGAAATACTTGCTGTAGAGTTCTGACAGGTGCAGCCCTGCCCTCAGAGTGAGCATCGTCCATTCCCAGGGCTGCCGTGCTCCCAGGTCTGTGGTCATTCTTCTTGAAAGCCATGCCACCGTGAGCCTCCATGGCACTGCCACCAGAGCTAAAACCTTAGAACCTCCCACTTTTCCCTCCTTCTGTTGTCTTCCTCAGAGAGGAAGGGCAATGTGGTAGAAAAAGCAGTCACGAGAATCAGATGACCCGTGCTGGAATTTCGATGCTGTCACTTACAAGTGATGTGACATTAGGAGGCCCCTCAGCCACTCTGAGCTCCATCGCTAGCAAACAGGGCTAGCGTCACCTTCATGATGCTGTGTACTGATTAAATGCAATGACACAGATGGAGACCCCATCGTTCCTATGCTTTCACACGTCACCTCCACATGTCAGAAACTTCTGACATCCCTTCTTGTTGGTCCTGTGCTCTCACTGAGCTCTGGTACCAAACCTCCAACTGTCTACTCAACACTGCCACTCGGATGGCTCACTGGCATCTCTAACTGGACATGTCCCAACTGGACTTGGGATCTCCACTTACAGACCACTGGCCCCCCGGCCCCCGAACTGTCCATCACAGTACAAGTACCATCAGTCACCTGCCTCTGTCCTCTTCCTCTCCATTCCAACCACCGCAGGGCTCCTACCAGGCCCTGTCCCCTCGCACCACATGCCCCAAGCACGGGAACTTTTCAGGTAGGCCCCAACAAAGCTCTGTTTTCCCCAAGCCATCCTGCTGTGGTTTGCAAATTAATCTTGCTCCAACCAGACCTGTCACATCAAGTCCTGAACAGAGATCTTCAAGCACTTTTCTGCCCCACAGTCTGGAATTTATGAGGGAAGAGGAGCCAGCTCCACTGGGTATGTGGATGACACAGAGTCCCCGCGGCCCGGAGCACCACACACCAGTGTACGACGCTCTGAGCAATTTCATCCCATTATCACATAAAGGTAAAGCTCCTGGGACATGTGGCTCATAAAACAAAGTATTTTTTAAAGCAGCGACAAAGGACTAGAAATTTCTTACCAAATTTTTTTACATAGTGTTCAGCTAACTAGAATCTAAATCTGCCACAAAGCACCCTCAACTGCGTTGAACTGTAATAATCCATCAATGCTAAACTACGTGTTTTGTAGTATTAAAATCATTTAACAAATATTCGAGCCTTTAGTATTTATGCTAAACGGCAAACGTGGTCAACCCCAGACATGTTCTTACCGTTTTGTTCATCTAGTTCATTCCCAATTTCCTTCCCCATCTGTTTCTGGCGACTTATAATAGAGGACAGGGCATCCAGGCCTGCATCCTGTTCTGAAAGAAAAAGTAAAAGAGGCCACTAAATACCAAAGGAAAACAACTTGAAGTCCATACCCAGGCATGTAATACAATTCAATATACTGTAAAAATAACATTTAGGTCAGGAAAAGAGAAAAAACAGTTAATATTAAAGAGAAAATAAAGAAAAAAAATATGAAATACCTACCTCATACCTTAAACTAAAACGATTCCCAGATAAATTAAAGTTTTAAATATTACAAATGAAATAACATAAGATTTGACTACATCAACGTTTTAAACTTCAATACATAAAGAGCATAGGCAGATTAGTAAGAAAAATATTCCAATTTTATAAATGGGCAAAGGATAGAGACATGAAGTTCACAAAAGAATACCAAAGGAAAAATAAATAAAAGTCTTGAGAGCACTGATTTTTAAAAAATATCGATAAGAAACAATGATGAGATTTTTTTTGGATTATCATATTTGGAAGGAATGAAATGCATGCTAATGCCCAGGGTTAACAAACGTGTGAAGGAGAAGCTCCTAAGCATTGTCACAGGAGAACAGGAAACATACCTTTCTACAGAGCAAATCGTGCCAACTTTTCATCTCTCAATTCCATGTGTACAAACGTAAGAAAACATTCAGACGGTATGCAATGAAGTATTTACAAGGATATTCCCTGAAACATTTCCTAGGCTGGTTATCAGTTTATTGCCTCTCAGTCCCAAAGTCACCCTTTTTGGCTGTTCAGTGAAAATGCATCTGGATCCTTTAAGTATTTTTTCCTTTGCCAGCTCTGTCAATAGGCGGGACTGCAGAGACTCGGCAGAAGGATGGTATTTGGCTTCTGGGCTCCCGCCTGCTCCCTGGACAAGCTCCTGCAGTGCTTACAGCTACTGCCCCCCCCACCACCACGTGGCCAGCGGGACTTGGGCTTGCTGGCCACTGAGTGTCCCGGGGCCCTGGTCGACCAGCAGTCCCTCCCCCGGAGCAGCCGGTAGGACTTAGGTTTGCCAGTCACTGAGTATCCTGCCTTGTTCCTCTACTCCCCTGCTCAGGTTAATAAAAATATCACATTTTCCCTGTTCAAATCTTTTTCCTGATTGGACCCCAGAGGCATACATGTATAGTAGTGGAAAATTGGAAACTATCTAATGCCCAAACACAGGGATTTGTTTAAAAACATATAGTATATTCATGAGTAAAACACTAGATAGCTATTAAAAATGATATCATACATGAACATTTTGATGTTAAAAGAAGTTAATGATACATAGGTCAGTTAAAAAGCAGGATACAGAACAATGTATAGGAAAATAGCATTTTTCTTTTAAAAATTGAAGATATGTTACTTCACTAGATTTTGAAAATTTAAAGGTAAAAGAATTCAAGTTACTCGAGATCCTTTCTTTAAAATGTGATGTTATTTTCTTTGTTTCTGTTTTTGTTTTTCACTGGGCAGTCTCGGTGGGCTCTTTGAACTTTCTTCTTCACTTTCAGGTGCACTGGGAAGAATGTTCTGGGGCTGAGTCTAATGATAAGGACTCTTTCTACCCCAGCAATATGCCAGGTGAGGGCAACAAGCCATTCACAACTTCACTTGTTGATGGGGATTTTTAAATGACTGTGTCACAGAAAATCGTATCTACAAAAGCAGAAATCACAAAGGTCTTTTCTTACCCAAGAGCATAGTAACGTTTACTTATTTTTTTCCTTGTCCTTTTATGGAATTAAGCCATTACACCTAACTTGTTAATTCATCTGGAATTTATTTAAACTAACGGTGTGAGGTAAGGACCCCTCAGTAACATTTTTTTGACACTGTGTACATTTTTAACTATACAAATGACCTGCCGTCTCCAGGGATTGTTCCAAGGGACCACTTTATAGCAAAATCACTTTATAATGAGGTCCTTTTGGTCTTTAGCAACAACCTTTTGGATGGCCTCCAAGGTAAATCTATCGTCAACCTAGTGCTGCCTTAGGATGGCCGACGTTACAGTAAAATTCCAAATGCATCCCAAGAATAATCTACATAAAGGATCAGGGGTCAAGGGTCAATGTGGATTAAAAGGTAAAACAATTTAACAAGAGGAAAGGAGACTCCTCTACAGTTTTCAATTAGGAGAAGAATCATGAATGCTCCGAAGTTGCTTTATCTGGTAGAGACATAGATTATGAATGGAAATACTGATACTACCGCACTCTCTTCTCTCCACCTTGACTCACTGTCTGACTTGACTACCAAAAAGTTATCTCGCTGATGCAAAACAGAACGAGGGTCAAAAATTCTGTGCTCCTCGGCTCATTTCTGTAAGAACCTGGTACCTCCTCACTACGGTAAAGTGCTACGATAAGTTTCCATTCCATAATCCAAAGACACAGAGGGTCCAAGTAACAGAGATGCTGTGTATGTATTAATAATCATACTGACGACCTGAGCTTCTCCAGGCTTACAGTGGCATTTCTAAGGGGATGCAGTGCGGTCACCCGAGAGACAATGAGCAAGAGAAAATGCTGCTACTCACAGAGACAGAAACAATAAAGACCCACGCAATTATGCAGAGCCATGAGAAACTACGCTAATGGCACAGTCGTAGCTCATTGCCCCTAGCCTGCCCTCCATCACATAACCCCCGTCACTATGATATCATAGTCATTTGCAACATACCACACTCTATCAATCGTCTGTCGGTATTATAATGGTGTTAATTTTTAAGAATGGATGAGCATCATGCTACCCAGAATAATGGCCCCCTGGAGATGTCCACATCCCAATCCCTAGAACCTGAGATTACGAGACCTTACATGGCAAAAGTAACTCTGCAGCTATGATTAAGGCTAAGGAATTTGAGATGGGAGAGTGTTCTGGATGATCCAGGTGGGCCCAGTGTAATCGTGAGTCCTTCAAACCAGAGACTCTTTCCCAGCTGCAGTCAGAGGGAGACTCGAAGAGGGTCAGGAGATGCAAGTTGCTGGCTTTGAACACTGAAGGGGACTGTGAGCCAAGGGATGTGGGGGGCCTTGAGAAGCCAGAAAAGGTGAGGGAACAAATTCTTCCCTGGAGCCTCCAGAAAGGAACCAGCCCTGCCAACACCTTGATCTTGGCCTAGGAAGAGCTGTATTGAACTTCTGACCTGTGGAACAGTAAGATAATAAACTTGCACAAACTTCCCTATGTTTGTGCAAATTTATTGCTGCAGCAACGAAAAACTAATACAATCATTGTTTTTGAAAATCCCTTTGGAGTAATTAGGTGTTTGGATCCTTCCTATCTTTAGACATTCTGAAAAACCATCCTCTAACTGAACATCATGTAATTGTGGGAGGACTATCTGGTGGCTCTAGATCAGAAAGGGACAATCATAACGTGTTCTTGCCAAAAATAACAAACTTGATTCTGATCAAGCCACAAAATCTAACTACCAATTTACAGAAAATATGTGTGGCAGAGGAATATGTTAAACAATATATGGGATTACAAATAGCAAGTCTAGATAGTGGGAAAGTACAGGGCGAATGACCCTGCTTCCTCAACACAGAAACTGCAAAGGGAAAAAGAGAGAGTTGGCAAAAGTACCTATCTATTAAAGAAACTTAAGGGACATACCAATCAGTTGTAATGTATAGACCACATTCAGATCCTGAATCGAATGACCTAAAAAAAGTCCATCGTGGGCAATCTGGGAGATCTGAACACTGGATATTTGATTACATTAAGGAATTCCTGTTAACTTATTAAGGGTGATAATGGCATTGTGGTTATATTTAAAAAAACAACCTTATCTTTTATAAACATACTTTAGAGATATATTCCAGAATATCCACCACTGAAATGATATGACATCTAGGATTTGCTTCAAAAATAATCCCGGGGAGGTTTGAGGTTGGTGTTGAGGAGAATAACGACCATGACTTCCAGTGCTTTGACGAAACCTCAGATGCGAGGCCTTCTGGCCAAGCGTCTGCGATTTCATATTGTTGGAGCGTTCGCCGTATCCCTGGGGGTTGCAGCTTTCTATAAGTTTGCTGTGGCCGAACCAAGAAAGAAGGCATATGCAGATTTCTACAGAAATTATGATTCCATGAAAGATTTTGAGGAGATGAAGAAGGCTGGTATCTTTCAGAGTGCAAAGTGATTTTGGAATGTAAAGAATTTCTTTGGGTTTTGTTCCATTGAAGTCTTGTCACTGACCTGTGTTCCTGAACTATGAAACACGAATATTGGGTTATGGAATAGTTTGTCTTGATAAATAAACAACTAACAAATACAAAAAAAAAAAAATAGTCCCGGGGATGGGCAGGATGGGGAGGTGGATAGACATAGAGATGAAACAAGACCGGTTAGGAGTTGGTAATGGTTGAAGCAATTGATGGGCAAAATGGGATCGTTATCTTACTCTCTCTACCTACATAGTTTTGCAACTGTCTACAGCAAAAAGTTAGCAACATTTTTTTTTAAGATTTTATTTATTTATTTGAGAGAGAGAATGAGAGAGAGCGAGCACATGAGAGGGGGGAGGGTCAGAGGGAGAAGTAGACTCCCTGCTGAGCGGGGAGCCCGATGTGGGACTCGATCCCGGGACTCCAGGATCATGACCTGAGCCGAAGGCAGTCGCTTAACCAACTGAGCCACCCAGGCGCCCCAGTTAGCAACATTTTAACAAATAAAGAAAACCAAGGGACATTCCTAAGAGCTGCAACCTCAGGCCCCTGACCGAGTACATGACAAAGGCCCCAATGGCTGGAGCTGTGTCTTCTTTTCCTGTATTTTTGCCCCAGTTCTGAGCCCAGGTGGTGGCACAGAGCATACTTAATACATATGCTTCAATCAAGGAATGACCACAGAGGGCCCACTAGGCTTGCACAAGAACGCACCTCAGTCTCTGCTGGACACAGGGTTGGGCTTCTGGGCAATACTAGATAGCCCTCTGAGTTTAGATCATAAGGAAAAGTAGTTAATGTTGTATTAGTTAGGGCCCGGACAGAAGCAACGGGAATTCTCACATTTGACACAAGGAGGAGCT